GACAGAAGGTGTCTGGGCACCAGCACCCCAATCCTGCCCATCACAAGGACCTGGGGACGAAAGCTTCTTGTCAGAACTCTCTTGGAAAAAGAAGCGAAAGCCCACCACCTTGGGGTTCAAGGGACTGAGCCAGCCAAGGTCGTGCTTCCCGTGAGGCACCCCGATTCACACCTGCTACCCTGGCATGGTTACTGGTAGAGCCTCCTGTCACTCTCGAAGGTGTGCTGGCTGGACGCTAAATGATGTAGTCCCCTTTGGACAGGTAAAGGGCCCATGACAGTGCCGGAGAGAGTGCTTGGTCATTTGCTCTTTTTTTTTTCTTGTCTTTTTTTTGGTACCAGGGATTGATCTCAGGACTTCGTGTTTGCCAAGCGGGCACTTACACTGCTGAGCTAAACCCCTGGTTTTCATCTTTTTGAGACAGGGTCTTGCTAAGCAGTTCAGGCTGGCCTTGAGCTCATTTTGTAGCCCAGGCTGGTCTCAAACTTGCAACGATCCTCCTGCCTCAGCCTCCCGAGTGCTGGGATGACAGGGGTGAGCCACCATGCCCGACTCGGTCATTTGCTCTTAAAATGCACACTCTTGATGGTGGCCATGGGACTCGACGTGGAATAATAAAAGGGCACAGAACCAAATGCACACAGCACCGGTGCCAACCTCCCCACCATGACACTGCACTCAACAAATGGAAGGTCACTTAGGCCAGTGAGGGAGGACCTTTAGAGCTTTCAGTGACTGCAGACAGCCGCTATGGCACAGCCATCAGGCTACCAAGGAAAAGGCAAAGGGCGCGTGGACTTCTCTATCACCTCTGCAGCTCCTTATAAACCTGCAGTTATTGCAAAACGGAAAGCAAAATTTTATTTCCTATTGTTTTATCTAGGCTACACTTGGAATATTTCCTCTAATAAACTCACAGGTAAAACGCATGGATCCTTAAAATACTTCACATGCAGGTTTTTCCCCTCTCCTGAATCTAGGATTTTCACATCCCCCAGGCTTTCTTTAAAATTATTATTTTTTAAAAATTTTAGGAGGGCCTTGCTAAGTTGCCTGGCCCGGCATGGAGGTTGGGCCCCTCCCGCCTCAGTCCCCCAGAGTGCGGGATGACCTGTTTGGCTCATCCGTGGGCTTACTAAGCACAACAACTAAGTCCAGTTGAACTAGAAACCATCGTCCAACATCCCCACTGTCCGGAGCAAGCTCCAGGTCAGTGAAAATGGCCTTCCAGAGGCCCACAGCTGCCCCAAGCCCAGAGCCCCTCAGAGCGCGAGCAGGATGTGCCTGGAGACCAGGGCTCTGCCCTCCGGAGCAGGACCCACCCCAAGACGGCGGCACGGGGCAGCTGGCAGTGGCAGTGTCAGAGGAGCAGCGTCCGCTTCATCTGGGGAGGGGAGAAACACTAACAAAGGTTTTCTCCCTCTAAGAGAGATGGCGTCTCTGTAACCGAGTTCATAACAAAATTCCAAACCGCCACAAAAGGGAGCCGAGCCGACTGGGGCTGCTCTGAGGGACATTTCTGGAAAATGGCTTTGGGGCTCCTGGTGCTTGACGAAGTGCCGGAACTGCGGTAGTGACTACCAGGAAGGATCTGTCACCGCACCTGGGCCACTGCGGAGACGGGTCCGGGGCCTTGTACTCCGTGTGCCCTCTGCACCAGCAGGCGGTCGGGGCTCGGGCTCAGCGGCTGGACTGCAGACCCAGAGCAGTCTGGGGGGCCACACTGCTGCCCCCCAGGCCACCCACGACCATGCCTGAGTCCCCCTGCTCCCCCGTCTCAGTGCACGGGGATTGCATGTGCCTGGGACCAAGGAGCTGCCTCGGCCCGGCACAGGAAGGCAGCTGGGAACCTTTCAGGCCCCTGCCAACCCCGCTCAGCGTTGGTCAGACCGGCGGAAGGAAAGGGGTCTTCGTCGGGAGAAAAGAGCAAAGCTCATTGGGGGGCAGTGCCTTCCTGGGGTGCACAGGTTAAAGACAGAAGAACAGGAGGGACAGAGTGAGAAGGCACTGGCCACGGGCAGACAGGCAACACGGCCGGGCAAGGCAGTGGGGTCAGGGCTGTGGCGGGAAAGGGCACTGCCAGTCCTTTTGGGCTAAGGCTGAGGACGGGGTGAGAGTGAGCTGCTCCAGAGCCGGAACCGGTGCTACGGGTTAGCAAGCTGCCTGGCTGTCACCAGATCCAGACCTCAAGCTGCAGCCGCCTGGCTCTGTCCCTTCCCCGAGCGCAGGTCCTGCACCCGACTGCTTTCAACCACGAGCCCCTCACCTACTGGGAGGGAGAACTGGACCCCTGCATAGCTGCAGACCCGGAGAGGAGGGACTATGGCCCCGGCCATGGTCAAGCTAGAGTTGGGGACCCAATACCCTCACCCAGACTGGGCCAGGTTTCTTGGCCAGGAGCCTAGGGTGACCCTGGATGACTCCTGTCACACATCCGGTTTCCCCTAATCAGAAACTGTCTGCGTTTCCCCCCAGCTCTGTGAGGCCCCAGACAGCTGGGCAGGTACTGGAAGTTAGGGGACAGCAGGAATTTAACTAGCCAAAGGGCTTTGGGTCCATCGGAGTCAGATGTCACGTGGGTGAAAAGAACTCTGTCCTGGGCAGCTTGGATGTCACTAGAGGCCGAGGCTGGACGACCCGCTCGGGCCCCAGGTCCCTGTTCCTGCTGAATCAGTGAGCAGCTAGCCCTCGTCCTGGGCGTCCACCTGGTCCCCCGGGTCCCCCACACAGCCCCTATGACCCTGGGAACGCTGCTGCTTTGGCTTTGGGAAGGGGCTGAGTCCTCCTGTGCTGCTGTTCAGGTGGGCTTTGTTGCTGAGATTTTAAAAACTGGGAGATTCCACCCAAAAATAACTACTGAGAGAATAGAGTTCTTTACCAACATGGCTATCAATGCCGTCCCACGTCGAGACCCCCACGTCTGCATTCTGGGCAAGTGCGGATTTTTGATTTCACTTAAAAATCAGACCTAGCTGGGTACGGGGCACACACCTATAACCCAGCATTTTGGGAGGCTGAGGCATGAAAATCGCAAGTCCAAGTCCCGAGGCACCTCAGTGAAACCCTCAGGTCTACAGTTTGGTGGCAGAGCACGCCTGGCTTCCGTGCCTAGTAAAACACACGCACACACACACACAGGCCAAGATGCGGCCCCTGGAGCCTTTGGGTGGGGGGAGCACTCCTACCCCCGGAAGTTCCCAGCTTCCCTGAGGAATTCGAGAGCATCGGCTCTGACCTCCGCTCCCCAGCTTCTCACTGCTGCCCTCTGCGTGAACCTCAAACCCCACCACAGCCGGGTCCCTCAGTGCCCCTCACCCGGGGCTCCTCCGTCCTGCCCTCCTGGTCCCTCTCCCCTCAGGGCCCGGCCTGGTGTACTGTACCCCGAACTGCACGTCTCTCAGCTCCACACCCCCACATCACACGCTGTGCCTCTGCAGGGCCTCGCCCTGGTTGCTGTGCCCCACCACCCCGTTGCGGTCCTCCTGAGCTCGTTCCCTCCTGAGCAGAACCCTGCAGGCAGCACCCCTGGGCTGCCAGCGCGCCGTCCTCTCCCCCAGGCCCAGGCCTGTGGCCGACACTAAGGTTTGTCACCTCCTCAGCCCGGCAGTTGCTGACAAGCCACACTGGGATGCGGTGATAAACAGGCCACCGCTGTCCTCTTGCATCCTGCTGACCCTTCCAACCTGGAGTCTCACGATGGCGTCCCCAGAGCTCCCCCAGGGAAAGGAGCTCCTCTCTGGCACCCGGGGTGGGTGGCCAGGCCTTGGGGATGCCACAGTGCTGGTTCTCCCCGCAGACAGATGGACGGGAGCCCCGCTGGGGCCCAGGGCCTTCCCTGCCTCCTGGTGGGAGGTTTAAGGGGAGCAGAGCACACTCCCCTGCCTGCCCGAGCCACTGCATGCTGTGACCTCAGCAAGCACCCCAGAGCCCTGGAGCTCGGCCTTTGTGTCCTCTGGTGGACGCTGGGGGCCGCGGCTCAGCAGGCCGGATTTGCCTGTGAAGAAGCTGCTGGAACCCGTGATGTGAATTCCGCTGCCCATCCTGCGGCTGCTTTGTCTTTGAGCTCCCCTGAGCTCTGTACTCTAAGTGTTTTCGTCCTTCCTTTCTCGGGAACTGTTCTCTAATAGAAACCAGGCCGAGCCTCAGTCTCACGCACGGCCCCCTGGGCTGCACCGGGCACCAGCGTGCTGGACCCAGGGCTCCTTCCTACCCCACGCTCTGCTCAGTCAACCCCCTGGCCCCGGTTGGTGGACAAGGCGGCTGCCCGAGGAGCAGCCCAGCCCAGGGCGCCTCTCTGCTCCCCACTTGTCAGCTAGAGGAGGCCTCTGCCTGGCCGGCGCCTGCGGCCTCCTCAGCCATGGTCAGTGGTGGGGGAGGGGCACAGGGCTTTGGCCACCCGCATCAGCCGGGTCCAGGGGCAAGTGACGCCCGGTGCCTTTGTGAGCGCCAGCCCTTGGCCTGACACTCCGCCTGCTGCCTGCAGCCCAAACCCCAGGACCTGACCACGGTGCCGACCCTGAGCGCCTTTGCCTGCAGGACCCAGCTGCAGCAAGCTCTGTCCCCAGGATGTCCCCAGGCAGGCCAGCCAGGGTGCATGGCTGCAGAGCTGCAGGACTTGGCTGGCTGGTGATTCTCGAGCACACAGCGGCAGCACAGGGGGAGGCTGGCATTCGGCCCGGGGAGACCTCGGGCTCCCTTAGAGACAGAGATGTGGGATGGGGCTCCTCCCGGCACAGTGGGCCCACCCCAGAAAGGCCAGCAGCCCCCGGTCACGTCCTCTACCTGCAGCCCCTCCTGTGTCCTCAAAGAAATGCAAGAAACTCGAGAAACGCCAGTGGCTGGGTGCAGCGGGCACAGCAGGAGCCGGGAGGACTCACACAGAGCCGACAGCAGCGCAGAGTGCCACCCAGGCCAGCCCCAAAGCCAGGCCAGGTCCCCAGGGCTGGGCACGTGGCGGGCACGGGTCTCGGGGTGCTCGCCAGTTGGAGGGGCCCACTCACCATTGGAGCGGTGGATGCACGTGTGCTGGTTGTCGCTGAGGAAAAAGCCACTGTGGCACTGGCACTCGTAGCTGCCCATGGCGTTGACACAGATCTGCTGGCAGCCGCCATTGTTGTCCTGACACTCGTCCACATCTGAGGGAAGACGAGGAGAACAGAGGTTACGCCTGGAGCTGGTGGGCCACGGTGGGCGGGACACGGTGGCATTTCTCCAGACTGGCCCTCGGAGGGCCAGGCGTGGTGCTGGATGACCCTGGAACTCTGCAGTGGCATCCCACGCTATACCCACGGTGGCACTCACTCCATGGTGTGAGACCACAGAACCCTCCGTGACACTTCACAGAATGTACTCCATGGCACCTCATGGTACTCCACGGTGCTATACCACAGAAAGTACTCCATGTTATCCACGTACAGCTTAGAAACACTGCGTGGTACTCTAAGGTACTCCACAGGGGGACCACACAGAAGTACTCCACGGTACTCCACGGGGGTACTCCCCAGAAGTATTCCACAGTACTCCATGATGGTACTCCCCTGAAGTACTCCACAGCACTCCATGGTGGTACCTCATGGTGGTACTCCACAGTACTCCATGGTGATTCTCCACAGTGGTACTCCACAGAATTACTCCACAGTACTCCATGATGGTTCTCCACAGAACTCCATGGTGGTTCTCCACAGAAGTACTCCACAGCAGTACTCATCAACCGTACTCCTCACAGTGACTCCACAGAAATAGCCAGTCCCAGCAGCAGCAGCAGTGCTGGCTGACCTTGGCTGCCTCTTGTGTGCTGGGTCAGTCCTAAAGCCTTCCCTTGAAGTTAAGCCCCCGAAGCTCCACAGCACCCAGTCAGACCCTGATTTGTCCATTCACACACGCAGAAACCAAGGCACAGAGGGACAGTCACTTGTCCGAGGTCTCTAGTGCTAAGTGGCAGAGGCAGGATTCAAGCCCGGTGGACAGACTTCCAAACCCGGGCTCCCCGACGTCGTCAGCCCCCCCTATCTCTGGGAAGACAGAGCAGCCCACGCCGCCTCCCCCAGCACAGGAGCCTCGCCAGCCACAGCCGCCACCCTCCTGGGACCAGAGCCACGGGGAGCCGAGGCCAGGGCGGCCTGTGCCACTCGAGGCCGGGGCCCTGCGATGGATTTCAAAAGCCTGGCGGGCGGAGAGGGTTTGAGCAGCCCTGACCTCTGGCTGCTGGGCCGGCCAGGAAGGCCGCCAAGAGTGTTCCCCGCTCCCCGGGAGGGAGAGCTGGACGCCGGCCCGCTCGTTTCTGGCCGCTGGCACAAAGGGTCCGCTGGCTGTGCAGAGCCTTCGCGGGGCTCTGGTCCCGGACAGAACAGCGTGTTTCAATTACCCAGCTGGAACCCCTACTCTGTCAGTTTGTTTAATGAAAGAAGGGCTTCTTAAACCTTAATGTCCCATGGCTGCACTGTCATTTTAACAGGCAAATATATAAAACCACAGAGACAACGTGAGCTACCGGCTGCTTCCAGCTGACCCCAGCATGCACGCACCACGCACACGAAGGTACTTCTGCATGAGGGTGTCGGGCAGTTCCTTTCACCCCGGGCATCTGAAGGGTACGGGCAGATTAGGAGCAGGTAGAGTGACCCACGCAGAATCAGGTGACAGCTCCACCGTGCAGTCACATCCGCTGGGCCCTGTGTGGACTCGGGACTGCAGCCCCCTTTCCCACCCCGGGGCCCACGGCTGCCTCTGAGGCCCGCAGCGAGGTGACTTTATTCTCTGGGGATGTGCAGCAGCCGGAGGAGGGGGGTGCAGCTCCGAACTCCAAAAGCCCCCAAGGCCACCGCTCCTAGGGAAAGGTGGTTCTCGCTGTGAGCAGTCTGGAGGCCGAGGGTCTGACCCAGGGAGCCGGAAGGAAGGGCCGGGACCCTGGCTCTGAGTGTCTTTCCCCTTGAAGTCTTGCTGATGGCTCCCGGCAGGCTCCAGGCCAGTGTCACCAGCTGGCATTGGGCTGTGAAAGGTTCAGGGCTGGCACTGGGTCTTCCTCACCCACCCTCTCAGTAGTGAAGCCTGAGAGTTTAGCAGGAGACTGTCTGCAGCCCGGGTGACGGCTGTGTCCCCAGCAGACGTGACACAGAGGACGCTGAGCTCAGAAAGCGGGAGTGGCCGGAGCACAGCCACACAGCCACTCGGGGAGCGGGGCTCCAACCTGAGGTCCGGCTGATCGGCCTGGCAGCCAGTCCCGGGGGATAGCCAGTGGCTGTCCCTGTTCTCTTGGTCCTTGGCTGCCCATGTTGAGAGCCCCAAAATGAGGTACACAGGACACATGGGAGCCCCAAGGGGTAGCCCTGGGTGCCACCCATCTGCAGCCATCTGGCCGGGCCTACTGCACCTCGCCCCAGGCTGGAAACCCCAGGGCAGTCGATGTCACACATCCACAAGGCCTCAGTGACCTGGCAGCGTGGCTGGGCTGCTGTGACAGGGCTGTTTACACCAGTGGGGAACCACGACCCGCCAACGCTGATGAATAATCCGAAACAAATGCAAGGGCCTGTAAACACTGCCTTTTCCTCACAAGAAGCGATTAACCCGGGGTGAAGCCAAAGAGGGGGCTACCCTCTGTGTTCCCCAAGGTGTCTGACACAGGCCTGACTCCCACCCCTGGAGGACAGACATCCTGTACCTCGGGCCTCCAGGCAGAGCCCAGGACGGGGAGTCGGGCTCTCAGGGTTCTGCCCTGCCCTGCCTTGTGGCACGGGGGCCTGGTCTGCAGGTTGGGTCATTTGTCTGGGGCTGAGCTTGCCCTGCAGGGAGTCCACGGCCCTGTGTCCCCTGCCACTGTCCTGTGCGCAGAGGGCCGGTGAGGCTGGCTACCTTGTCACCACACACGTGACAGCGTTCGTTGCCACCAGCCCTCCCTGCCCCGACTCAGGGCTCTGGCACTTGCTGTGGACGTCCACCGTGGCCCCAGCTTCCACTGAAGTGCCCTTGGCTGTGACGTCCAAGCCCTGAGCATGGAGGTGTGTGACCTGAGTCAGGAGGAGGAGGACAGGTGCTCAGAGCAAAGGCTGCTGGGAGGAGGGCGGACACAGACAACCGTGCAGCTGATCAGCACAGCACCCCCACACCCCAGGCTTGGGCTGCACTGGGCTGTTTCCAGTCTGGGGTCCCCTGAGCAGGCTCCGAGTGGGGAGAGCCAGGCCCCACCTCCGTGTGCTGCCCACCTCCAGGGCCATCATCTTTATTTACAGTCAGCGAGGAAGGCACAGTGCGGGAGGACTGCAAAGGCCCAGCTCTGGGAGGGCGCAGCCCAGGTTGTCACCAGGTTGTACCCAGGTTGTCACCAGGTTGTGCACTGGTCTCCTGGCCTCCATCCCATGTCCCGATCCCTTTCCTGGGGACAGTGGCTGCAGAGGACTCTCGCTGGGACACAACTTGGCAGCGGTCCCTCGGCTCAGGCCACCCTTACCTTGCTCTGTGGTGCACTGGTCTGGCACAGGTTCCCACCCGGCCCTGCCGGCCACTGAAGGTCCCCTTGGGGTCGTGAGCCCCGCTGCGGCTGGCACAGCTGCTTCTCAGCAGGCCGCGGCTGGATCTGCTTCCGGGAAGCCTGTGGCGTGCGGTGCCCACGGGGGCTGCGTTTTGGCCCAGCTGCTGGTGTTTGTTTTTATTAATAGCTGCCTGTTTACCCTGCTTTGGACCAAAAATTCAGGTCGGAGGTTATTTATAGCTCCCAATGGCTTCCGGGTCCAGTGCTGGTTGCTTTGTTTCTATGCAGGCTTCACGATTCCAAACAGAGACTCGGTGTCCTGCTCGGACCCCACCATCCTCTGCACGGCCCCCAGCAGCCTACTGGGTGGGTATTGGGTGATCGTGTCCCAGCTGCCGCCCAGGCTCGGGATGCGGGCAGAGGCGCATCCTCAGAGCCAGCTGGACTGCAGCTCGGGTCGATCCCATCTGGCCCCAGGCTGCGCCCAGTCCTCCCTGGCTCCCCTCGAGAGGCGGCTTAGGCAGAAAAGCCTCTTGGCCATCGAGTGAGGCGTGAGTGGCTCTGGCAAAATTGCATTTGATGATTTAAGTGTAAATAAATGAGAACCAGATGGATTCGATTTCGGGTAAAATACACATAGGTCTTACAGCCTTGGGGCCTGGGTTCTGCCTCAACCAGAACATTCCCTGAGCTCCAGGGCTCTGCATGGGCAGGCAGGGGTACGGCCGAGTCCTGAGGACCTGCCACCTTCATGAGCATCCGTGAGGACTCCTGATGTCCTGGCAGGTCAGCTGTGCGCAGCCCCTGGGGCAGGGCCGGGCCAGGCCTGGGTGCAAGGGTGGTGTACAAGTGGGGTCAGCATTCCAGATCCGAGCAGCCTGGGGAAGAGGGGACACAGGGTCCTGCGGGAGCCGCCCCACCCGCTCATCCGAGCCGGCCTTTGGCCCCAGCTGCCACCCCACAGCCCCCCACTGCTGGACGTTGCTAAGCACAGGCTCGGGCCAGCATCAGGACAGGCCCTGTGGTATGGCCCTGGGACCACGGCCTAGGGGACCTGGCCCCTTTTCCACCAAGGCTCAGCAAGAAACCGCTCCACAGCCGCGTCACCACCTGAGGCCCAGGCTCCTCCTCCATCCTGGCCTTGGGGGAGACGGTTGAAGTAATCGGGGTGCTTAGCACCATGCCTGGCCCCGAACCACTGACAGCAGAGCAGCTGCCGGATGAAGGGCAGCAGGCACAACCCCTGAGCCTGGGAATGTGACAGCACCTCATCCGGAGGAGCGCACTCCGCCTGCCTCGGTCACCGGGCTCCCTGCAAAGCTGCCTGGGATCCCCCAGCGGCCTCTTTTTAACTCAGCCTCTGCCGCTCACCTCCTCTCTCTGGGGACCCCAGCTTCCTGAGGTACCGGACAAGGCCAAGAGCTGGACACAACTGTGTGTGGTCCACTCAGAGGAGTGGCACGGCTTCCTCCTGCGCCCCACACACCACCCCCTGGCTCTCGTCACGTCTTGGTTGTCATTGACATTTAATTCACACGGCACACTCAGCACCTGTAGTGATCGACTGTGTTGCACCACCATAATCAGAAGTTCTGGAACATGTGCCTCTGGCTCAAGAGCAGCCTCGTCTATTTTCAATTAACTCCAATTCCCCCAGCCCCTGGCAAC